CGTGGATGGGATCTGTCAGCTCGCGCTGCGTGTACGCTCGCGACCCGTCATCGTCGGTGTGGAACTTTGACCTTTCCTTGGGCAGCGAGACGACGTCCTGGAACGGGAGCATCTCATAGCTGAAGCCCACGCGGAACCTGTAGCAGCAATACATCAGGTACAGGGCGGCAGGGGCGGTCATGATGACTGGGCCGTTGCTCTTGGCATGGCGTGCCATGACGCCGATCAAGAGGATGACGTAGATCATGACTCCGTACTGCACGTGCCGGAGCCCGTTGACGAAGAAGAGCCCCCCCGAGTCGGGCTTCCTGGTCTCGGCGAAGACGAGTAGATACCCGTAGCAGATGCGGCAGAGCAGGAAATTGATGAAGGTCAGGCCCGTGATCGCAGGCGAGAGCGTCGAGAAGATGATGCCTGGGAGACTTGCGCCGCATTAGTCGACGCGGCCTTTCCCCCTGACCTACTCTCCTCTCCTTGCCTTCGCCTCCTCCATTCCTACTGCTGCTGCTCCTGCTGCTGCTCCTCCTCCTTGTTCCCCTCCTCTCTCACATCTTCTCCACTCCGTCTCCTGGGGGGGGAAGTTGCGGGGGGAGGAAGAATGGAGGAGGGAGGAGAAAGAGGTGCACGTTGATTGAGGAAGAGGAGAACTGGGAGGTGGAGGACTGGGAGGAGGAGGAGGAGGAGGAGGAGGAGGAGGAGGAGGAGGGGGAGGAGGAGGAGGAGGAGGAGGAGGAGGAGAGACGAGACGAGACGAGATCATGGGCGCCAACCCCCTTTCTTCCCCTTCGCGGAGGGGTTTACACTTCCCCCTTTCCCTCCCTGGACCTGGACGGGGTGTTCGCGAGGTGTCGGATCGTCCAAGAAGGCCTCGGCGAGAAGGCCCAACTCATAGATTTTACGACGGTTTTGGACCCATTTTGGCCTCTTGGGGGGGCGAGGGGCGCTAATGAAGTAACCCCCCTTCTTTGATCGAACTCCTCTAAGATGGCCCCGGGGCCTCGTGCCCCAAGAGGGCCCCGAGAGGCGACCAGGAGGCCCCAAGAGGCCCTCAAGATCCCAAGAGGTCCCCAAGACGCCACAGAAGGCCTACAAAGAAGCTCTCAAGCCTATCTGTTTGCCCTCCTTGTCCTCCTCCTCCTCTTTCTCATCCGCTTAATCCTCCTCCTCCTCTTTTCTCTCTCCTCTCTCCTCCCCCCTGCCCCCTCCCCCTGCTCCTCCATCTCCTCCATCTCTTGCTCCTCCTCCTCCTCCTCCTCCTCCTCCCATTCTGGTTCTTCCTCTATCTTCCCCCTCTTGGGGTATGAGTGATTCCCAGCCTTTATTCAACTGCGTGCTTCCCCACATGCCTGATCAGGGCAACTCGCCTGGGCATCGTTTCTGCATGGACTGGAGGGGTCATGCGAATCGTATATAATATCGATCGGGAATGACGCGGGATAATAGTGATGACGAACATGATGATGATGATGATGATGATGATGATGATGATGATGATGATGATGATGATGATGATGATGATGATGATGATGATGATAGTGATGATGCTGCTGATGATGATGGTGATGATGATGCTGATTATGACGATGAGGATGATGAGGAAGAGGAGGAGGAATAGGAGGAGGAGGATGACCAGTGTGAACCCAAGAGCCATCAACGATGTTGAATACACCCTCCCTCCAAGCTCCCTCGACGGTTCATTTCCTTTGAGGGATCTGCCTCGTTGGAAGACAAACGCTTGAAGACCCGAAAACATGCCAAAACATTGTTCTCGGGACTTCAACGCCACGGATCAACCTGACTGTTGCGTCTTGACGATCCTGGATCGTGCCAGAACGCCATTCTTGGGATTTGAACACCGTCGACCAATGTAACTATTGCACACGCAAAATCCTGAATCCTTCCAGAACGCCATTTCTGGTGCGTTGATCGTGGGAATCCGTGAAACTCTTGCGGTTTTCATGAATGAATGTGCGCGGCGCTAAGGCGAGAACCACATTTTGAAAAAGAACCGCCCTCAATCCGTGAAGCTCTTGTAGATTTTGAGAGTGTGCGGAGCTAAGGCGAGAGCCACAATTTGAAAACGACCCGCCCTGCATCTGTGAAGCTGTTGCCAATTGTGCAGTTTCAAAGCCAGAAATGGTGAGGAAGTCTCGGGCGAAACGCCCGGTCCGCCTTAAAAACTGGCCTCGGGGTGCGACAGGGAGAAGTTTTTCCTAAGGGAAAGGAATGGAGGAGTCATGTGCGGGGTCTCCACCCCCGCGCCGAGGGGCCCGCGCGCCCCCCGCCCGCGGCGGCGACGAGCGCGGCGCCCGCCATGGCCTGGCGCGGCACGCTCTCGGCCCACGCCATGCAGCCCGCCGACGTCCGCGACAACGCCAACACGGCCACGGGGGGCTGCCCACCATCAGGGCGTCCCCACACCTCCTTGCGGGCAGAGGAGACCGCCGCTTTGGGTGCCTCCGTAGTCCTACGCGCCGCGAGGCGCCGACGTCTGGCCGTGGGCGGCCGGGGCGGCAGTGCGGCGCGGCAGCTGCAAAAAGTACCGCAGCACCAACGCCAGCACCACGCTGACACCACCACCAGCACCGACATCGGCATCAACAACAACATGCAACACATCGTGATTCAAGTCAGCCCAAGCCTTTCCCAACCCCAACCCGGCCTCCCTTCCCGCCCCGCGGTCGCCTACCCGACGTATGCGGAACTCGAGGACATAACCCAGGATGCCATGTGCAGCGCAGCCCAACGACGAGAAACCCCTCCCCGCGCCCCACCCGACGACCCGCCCCACGATCCCCCCCCGACGCCCCTCTCTGACGCTTCGCCCGACGCCCCTCCCGACGCCCCACAAGAGGCCAACGTCCGCACCCGCGTCAGCTCCGAATCTGGCGCCGACGCCGAGCCCAACAGTCAGCCCGACGTTGGCACTCACGACGTCTCCGACATTGGCGCCTATAAGGGTCGCGAGGAGAAGAGGGATGACCCAGAACACCAGCACGAGGATTCAGAGCACCAGAGGGAGGAGCTGAAGAGCCATTCCAATGACGTCGACGCCTCAAGTACACGCAGACGAACCTGTTCGCGGGGGCCCAGCCCCCCCCAAAAGGGTCGACGTCCTTCCCGCCCGCCCCACTACCTGACACCCTTCCAAACGACGACGCCGCCCTCCCCGACGCCCCACGCGACGCTTCACCCGACGCCCCACGCGAAGCCCTCCCCGACGCCCCACGCGAAATCCTCCCCGACGCCCCGCTCGATACCAAACCCGACGTCCGCACCACCGACAACGCCTCAGACGCGGGCGCCGACTCCGCACCCGACAACCAGCCCGATGTCCGCACGACCAACCCGCCGTCCAAAAATCAACAATAACAGCTTGGTGCCATCTACTGGCGCGGAGTCCGCGGCGGCATAGGGGGAAACGGACGTGGCGCAGCCAGGACCAGCGCCGAGCGGGCGGCGGCGGCGGGTGACGCCCTGGCGACACTGCGACAGGTCTACAACACCAAGTACCACACAGGGCGATGAGGGTAGGAGCAAGAGACGCACAGGCGGGCACGTGCGGCGCTTCTGAACAATTTGTGCATTGTGTATTAATCACTTGCGCCGCACCCAGGCCCACGGCCGCAAGCGCGGGGCGGTCCGCGCGCTTATCCGTGTACCTGCGATCGCACACGGCGGCGTGGGCGCGCGTCGCTGCGCTCCCCCCATGCGCGCCCCGCCTGATCCGTCTGCTCGGTATGCCCGCCTGCGACACACGCGCGCGCGGCGCCCAGCGCTTCGTAAGTGCGCGCGCGATGAGGCTTCTACGACATCTTGTGACCATCCACAACCTTATCCTGTGAATCCGCGCAATAAAACGCTGTCGACTCTGACGCCCAACCCCGCGCCCGAATTGTCAGGGACAATGTCAGCAGCGACGACGCTAGCATCACCTCACTATTCGTCTGCGATCCCCATCCCGACGTCAGCGAAGTAAAATCCCACGCCCTCTTCACCTCCAGAGGACCGGTCGCCTTAATCCGACTATGCCATGGTTCCAACGCCCGTGGGTATCCTGGATATGCGTACGTCGACTTCCACAGCGAGCAGGACGCCACCTGGGCGCTCGACATTCTGAATTACTGATACTGATACGTTGACGGGCGCTCGTGCCGCATCACGCGGGCCGAACACGACACCAACATGCGCTAGAGCGGCGCCGGGAGCATGTACGTCGACAGCTTGGACCACGACATCGACAACAACGCCCTGCACAACACCTTCAGCCTCTTCGGGAGGATCCAGACCTGCAAGGTCGTGACAGACTGGCTCGGGAAGTCCCAGGGATTCGGCCTCGTCCACTATGAGACCGACGAGGCCGCCAGGAAGGCCATTGCGCACATCAACGGCATGCGGATCGGCTGGAGGCCGGTCGACCTACCAGATCCATGCGCCAGCATCGACGCCAGCACCGACGCCAGCATTGGCGCCAGCAACGACTATAGCATCGAAGACAACATCGACTCCAGCACAGGAGCCAGATTGCACGTCAGCATCGACATCAGCACCGACCCCCCGCATCGAAGCCAGCAAGGACGCCAGCATCGACACCAGATCCGACCCCAGCATCGACGCTAGCACTGCCACAAGCGTCGACGCCAACACTGACGCAAGCATCGACGCCGGCATCGACGCCAGCACCGAAGACAAGACTGACTCCAGCACTGGAGACAACACCGACACCAACACCGACACCAGCATCGACCCCAGCAGCGACATCAGCACTGATACCAGCATCAGCGACAGCATCGACGCTAGCATCGAATACAGCACTCGCTCCACCATCAGAACCAGCATCGGCGCCAGCAGCAATACCAGCACCGACTACAGCATCGAACCCAGCACTGCCGACAGCATCGAAGCTAACATTGATTTTAGCACCTGGGCTAGCAGAGACGTCACCAACGACACATGAACCGACGCCCAAATCGATGCCAACACCAGAGGGTAGGCGCGAAATCCTCGTCGACCGTGGTTGATTATCAAGGAATGAAAACCTAGGTTCATTATCTGCAGATGATACCCTATGGTTTAGTGTCCTGTGAATGGATCGGGCTCCCCCCCCCCGGCCGAATCATTATCTTTCCGGAATAATCAACCTAAGTTTAATATTCCAACATTCTGAACCAAGGCTTGTTTCAGGCCAGAACGAACCCCCAAACGGCGCCCCCCAGGCTCAATCATTATCATTCCAGAATAATGAACACAAGGTCAATAATCCGGGAACATTATGGATCCGGGTTTATTATCTCCTGGAGATCATGAACCGGGGTTAATATTCCGACATGAAAAACCTGGTGATCAACCGGGGGGTTGGGGGGAAATAGTACTTGTTATCATTCCAGAATGACGAAAACCGAATTAATTTTTTC